TAAAAATCTAGCCTGGTGTGGTGGGGCATGCCTATAATCCTAGCTACTTCGGAGGCTGAAGTGGGAGAACCAATTGAGCCCAGGAATTTGAGTCTGCAGTGAGCTATGATGATACCACTGCACTCCAGCCTGGGCAACAGAGTGAGACCTTGTCCCTATTAAAAAAAAAAAAATAGTTGATACTAGGCACTATAACACACAAAGCACTGTTCTAAGAACTTCAGAAGTATCCCTTTATTTAATCCTCACAACAACCCTATGAGGTAAGTCCTAATATTATCCTCATGTTATAGGCAGGGAAAATAAGGCAGAAATGGGGTCAAGTAATTTGCCCAAGTTTATTCAATGAGGGCAGTGCTGGGATATCAAACCCAGGAAGTCTGCCTCCAGAATATATGTTATACTTCCTCTAGTAGAAAAACAAGAAGCAGAACAAGAATTTATTCAGAAGTACTATTCAATCATATTTGCTAACAAGGAGGAAAGTACCTTTCATTCACAATAAACAGATAATAATTCATTACTTACAGCAGTTCTGTCCATGGCTTTCTCTCCAACTTAAGTCTGCACATTTTTTCTGGACAATCTCATCAACTCCCCTGGCATCAAACACAATCTACTTGTGGATGACTCTCAAATTTATAATAGATCTCCAGCCCAATCCCTCTTCTGCATCTTAAAACCTACACCAGAGCAAGACTCTGTCTCAAAAAAAAAAAAAAAAAAAAAAAACCTACACCAAAAACCTAGTAGAGATTTCTTTCTGAATGATTCATGAGCACCTCAAAATCAACATGTCCAAAACTGAATCATCATCTCCATCCCCCTTCATCTCCCACTCTCAAACCCCTTCCTCCTCCTGTACTCCCTTACCACAATGATAGCCACCATCATCTACCTGGTTGCCCAAGTTAGAAACCTGGATGTCATGCTAGACTCCTCAGTCTTCCTCCCCTTCCATGCCCAGTCAATCACCTATCACTACCATGTCTATCTCCTAAGTGTCTCTCGAATCAGTGCATGTCTCTTCATTCCCACTGCCTTACTTAATTTTATAACTTTACAAGGCTATCCTTGTTTGTATTTTATGTTGTTGAGCACAACTGATTATCTTTTTTTCTAGTGGTATGTCCTGCCCCATCTGATGGCAAACTCCATTAATAGAGAACTGTGTATACATTTCTTAGCTAAGTCTCTAATGTGTACTTATTTGATCAGCACAATGACTTCAGAGATAAATTTTTGGGTCCATTAAAGAGAAATTAATACTAAGAATGCATGTCACTTAACACATCAATTTTTAGAATATTACTGCCATCAGACTAAGACCCAGTTATTTTACCAAAAAAAATAATTTCCTATCACAAATCCACAAACTATTACAAGGGTTCAATGACAGCTAGTATAGGCCATGCACTATACTAAGCGTATTACACAAATTATGCCATTTAACCTCCACGACAACCCTATAGGCTGGGTACTATTATTATCCCTATTTTCCAGATGAGGAAACTAAATAAAACGAGGCCCAACAACTTGGCCACAATGTTCCAAGTTAGAAAACAATAGTCACAATTTGAACCCATATCAGAGTGACAGTAGAGTCTATTCTCTTAAGCACTTGCTATTTTGTCTCTGAAGGAGAAAATGCAGTAAGTGTTTTAAAGCTACCAAGAAAAAAAGCACAACGCTTTCATCAAGGAGATGTTAGTCTCCTTGATAAAAGAGAGTGACACTATGGAAGTCGACAGTTAAGAAAGGACCTTTTTAAAGTGAAGTCCACAAATCTTTAAGAAAGGTCAGCAAACTAAAAAGATTCAGAGCCACAGAAATGCAACTGTCAAAAAAAAGTAATTCATTTGTATGTTTCCTTTCTCAGGACATCATAATTCACAGAAATATGGTTTTATTAAACCAAAAATGTCTACTGTCTTATACATAAATATATCGCATAACGAAATTCTACAAACATTAGAATCCTCCACTGTAATTCAATTTTTATCTGGAAGGACGGAGGGAGAAAGGTGGCAACCAACCACCACAAGTAGGTAAAAGGCTCGGAAACCTCAACCTTGATCACTTGCTTACTTCCAGACGCCTAAAATATGAGTGAAAGGGCCAATGTATAAAGAACACTATCATCCATCTTCCTCTGGTGCTGCGAGAAACACAGACGCACAGTTAAATTCACTAAGATCAGCTAAGATTAAGCTTCAGCCTACAATTCGTCAAGGATTCGGCAGCTGCACACAGAAGGTGCAGACCATAGCTCTCAACTTTTCATTTTGGCCATCGTTTTAAATCCTGGGTGCACAAGCCCACTTTGAACTAGGCCCCACCGTGCAAAGACGGTTCCTGTCAGATTTCTCAGGAAGGGTGAGGCGTGAAGGAGGGGCGGCCTCTCACCCGCCCGGAGCCCACCGCGCGTCGCTCCTTTTGTTGGGGTGGAGAGGAGGGCGGACCCCGCACTCTCCCGGGGGCAAACAGAGGGTGGGCGGAGAGAAGGAAGGGGGCGAAACGCCGCGGCAGCCCCCAGCCAGCCCGGGGCTGGGGACACAAAGAATTTGGGAACCGGCCGACGAGGTCCCCCACCCGCCCTTCCATAAACCGCCGCGAAACTCCAGGCCCGGGCCACCGAGGAGTCGGCAGAGGCGGGCGCCCTGGCGTCCGCGGCCCCCTGCGCTCCCGGCGGAGACTCAGCCGCCGGCGGGGGCTGGAGGCCGGGGTTGGAGGGCGGCGCGAGGCCCCCGCGGCGCCCGCAGCAACCGCGAACCCCCGCCGCCCCTCAGCCCAGCCGCGGGCCAGGCCGCAGGATCCCGGCGCCCGCCTCGCCACACCCACCCGCCTCCTAGGCCCGGCCCGGGAGGACTCTCTGGCTCTCCGTCTGGCTGCGGCGGCGCGCCCCACGCCCGAGATTTACCTGCTGATCTTCTGGGCGAAGGCGCGGCGCTCGGCCATGGCTGCTGAGGCGGCGGAGGCGGCGGCGGCGGCGGGCTGGGCGCGGATCGGCGGGCGCGTGCCTCCTCGCTCGCGGCCTCCGCCAGTCCCGGCTCCGGACCTGGGAAGCTGGGGCTGGCGGCCGGAGCCGGGAACGAGCCCTGCCGTAATGCTCCTTAGAGGCGCGCACCGAGAAACCGCTCCTCCCCCAGTGCGTCAATCCCGGCGGGAGCCCCGGCTTCAAAAGGCGGCTGCGGCCGGTTGGAGCTGAGGAGAAGAATGGAGCGTGGAGGGACCCGGACGCCAGCCCTGGCCGCCTCGCCGCCGCGGGGCCTGCACAACCGAAAGGTCGCGGCGAGAAGCCAGAGAGAGGCCGGCAACCTGGCGAGGCAAGAAAATAAGATAACCAAATGCGTGGGGGGAGCTTGGCTTTCCCGAAAAGGAAGAGAAGGAAATGGAAGATGGGCTTTGCCGCCAAGGATGAGTGGGTTCGTGTTCCTGCAGCGCGCATTCCGAGCAGTTTAAAGCACCTTCTTTACTGCTTCGACCTCGTGAATGGGGCCTGAAGAGAGAAACAATGGTGTTGTGTTTTTTTTTTTACAGAAAAACAGCCAAAAAGACTTTTCTTGCAGAGGTAACAACAGTAATAGTTGACTTATGGTGCTTAGCCAGGCACTGGATTAAAGTTTTACACTCATGATCTTAACCATCACAATAACACTTTGAAGTAGGTTATTATTCCATTTTGGAGAGAAGGAAATTGGCTCAGAGAAGCTAAGTGACTGGCCGCAGTTGGCACAAATGGTAAACTCTTCTAGTGAGGTTCACACTCAGGTTCACACTTTTGAGGACGGTTGCTTTTGTATTAATTATAATAGATTATTAATAATCTATGAAGATTATTAATAATAATCTTCATGAGTCCATTACTTGCCCCTTTTGGATCATTTTATATGTATCTATATCCAGGTAAGCTCTAACGTTCTTCGCTATTTTGATGTTCTGTTAAATAATCTCTGTGTTTATTGCTGAAACCACTGCCCACAATATCCTACAAAATAGAGACTAGCAGAGATCATGACTTATTCTGTTGTAATCCCATAGTATCTAGACTCTTTGGCTTCTAATGCATATTTGCTGATTGCTGAAGTTATGGAAAATTAAGAAAAATATTTTGGTTTCTTGTAGTACATTTCCTCTTAAATATTGCAAGAATTTAATATGTGTATTTACTTATTGTTATTGTTATATTCTCAATGTGTCCTTGTGGAGTATGTTGGATACCTATTTTCCTCTCATTTACCATTGGAAAATTGTAGCTTGGAGCTTTAAGGTCACTTGCCCAGAGTCACACACTGAGTCAGAGGTGAAAGCCTCCATTAGTCAGATCTGTAACTTCCTGTCTACTACTGTAACCTCTGTGAAAGGCTTAGTGTATTTGTGTAACAGTGCTCATTCCAGTAACACACTGCTTTTATTTATTTTTTTTTAGAGATAAGGTCTTGTGTCACCCAGGCTGGAGTGCAGTGGCTATGCACAGGCCCTGTCATCGCACACTGCAGCGGAGAACTCCTGGACTGAAGCAATCCTAATCCTCCTGCCTCAGCCTCCAGAGTAGCTGGGACTACAGGCTCATACCACTGTACCCTCAGTAACACACTTTTAAATACTTGTTTACTGGGAGAAAAGATAGTCTATTAGGAGAGGACGTATATTTAACTTCTACCTAAGTGTAGAGCCTACCTAGATGTTCTGAAAAGTACAAAGGTGAACTAGACATTGTCTTGCACTCAGAATGTTTGAGTCCATCGGGAAAGATGAAACAGCTATCAAAGAACTATAAGTCTAGGCTACCACTGTACCTGGCCTTTAAGACCTTCCATGACTTGAACCCAGTGGTGTTTTGCCACTTCCTTACTATGTGACCTTGAACAAGTTACTTAACCTCATCTTTAAAATGGGGGAAATAACTGTACCTACTTGAAAAGGTATTGTGAAGATTTATAGACTTAATTCATAAAAAGTTCTTAGAACTTACTCATGGTAAGTACTATACGTATTAGCTGTTGTTATTATCACTGTTATTATCATTATTCATCCTATACTTAAGCTTGTCCTGAGTTCTTGATAATCCCTGAATCGGTTGTCTGCTCTCATACTCCCTGCCAGATGTTGTATGCCTTTATCTCTGCTCTCCAAACATCTTTTCACTACTCTGTTAGAGAACTGACCACATTTTGCTTTGAATAGTTCTTTGTATACATGACTCACTAGTTGCCAAAGTGTCTGAAAGGACATTGTATGCACTGTGCAGCTCACTGGAAATATTTAGAGCAGGAAGAGGCCAAGCAGGACCAAGCTGTAGGCCGGGTATTCAGACTCTTGGGAACACTCCAAGCAGAAGGGGTGGCCCCCACCTCTGGAGAAGAGCTGGCAGTCACAGACCAAGTCCAGTGTGACCTGGCATCCCTGCCCGACATGGGTCCAACCTCAGGGAAATAAACGGAACTCAGCAATGGGAGTGAAAGTAGAATTGCTTTAGCCAACTAGCATCCATGTTCCCCCACACCACCCCCTACACACACACACACAGAGGTCTCAATCCGCTGTACTTCTGTGGAACTCACACCTCCCCATCTCCCATTTAAAGGGTGAGCTGTTGACCTAGGCCTGGCCAAGCAGAGCAGCACATTCCCCTGGCTTCTGTGACTGGTTTGGGGATAGACACATGAATTAAGCTAAGACAATCAGACCCAACCAGAATTGGAAATTGTATTTGCTATAACCAGGCAACTCTATCTGAAGAAAGCCTTTGTGAGAGTGAAGTCAAACACAGCAGAGAAGAGACCAAAAATTTGGAAAAGATGAGCCCCCTGTAACATGACTTGAACCTTGGACTTTGCAGTTACATAAACTAATAATGTGCTGGATTTTTTTTTTTTTTCTTGTTTGGGTTGAGTTTTCTGAGCAGTTGAGTCTTATCTGATATAGGCCTTTATTTAGTCAACTAATATTCATTAAATACCCACAATACTAGACCCTGGAGATATAATGGTAAATAAGGCATTATATTTGTCTCTAATGAGATTATAATCTAGTTGAAGAGATAAGTAAGTAAACAGTATGCTACATGCTGAGACAGAAAAAATTTAGGAAGCTATTTGAGTACATGTAAGTTCTTAATAGCATCAGTTCTCAGCATTGGGTGAAGACTAGCTTATCACCAAAATGTTTATTTGATATGAGGTGGTAAAAATTGCATAGCATTTAGCCCCACGTTTAACCTTGTTATAACCTTGCAGAAAGGCTGGCTGGAACTCTGGGAACATCAGAGGCCCAACCATTGACTGGTTGGATTCAGGACCCAAGTTTCCCACTGATGGGAAGAAACTACTTACCCAGGTCCAGGAACAATTTGGCAGAGTAGCCCCAGAACAATGAGTTTTAGGTAAGAAAGCCTCAGAACAGTTTTCTCATTAGACATACAAGTGTACTAAAGTCTCAAACAAAAGATTTAGGAATAAGACAGGAAAAAAAAAGAAAAATGGGGGAAAAGTCATATGAGTTTCACATTCTAACTGCTATCAAACTCAGGTTTCCCCCTTTAATATAGCACTAAGGAGGATTATGGAAGAGCATGGTCAAGGTTCTAACTGCACAGTAGAAAGGAGTAGAGTTTTTGTGTCATGAAGGATAGAGTTCTGGCTTTGCAGGTAGAATGCGTGTTCTCTATTGGGATTTTGAGGGGCAGAGGGAGTAGTTGGGCTTTTATGAAGCACTGCTGGTTTTATACAGTAAGAACAGCATGGAGCTCCTTTCCCTAGAAGCCTCTAGCAAGGCCAAATGAGTGTGGCCCAGACAAAGGGAGGACTGGGGCATGACACATGGGTTTACCCCAACCCCAAACCAAAGCCTAGGAGTTGAGCACTAAATCTAAGCTAGGGATGCTTTTGCCTGGCCTTGTCCTCTGTCCTTCACTCTCTCTCTTAAAATGTAGCAAATGTAATTTTGGCAAGGGGCAATTCAGGGATCCTAAACCTGACCATACTTCACAATTAGTAGCACCCATGTTTAATCTGTTATAATATTCACTACACTGTCTGATTATTGCCTATTAATCTGTGTACCCCATTAGACTTGATCTCTTATTCACCATTGTATTTGCAACATCTAATACACTGCCTGATCCATTGTAATCACTCAGTAAATGTTGAGTAAATAAATGCCATGAGCTAAAGTATTTTCAGATCCTGCCTTAATTTACATTTCCCCAAAAGCAGGACTTGAGACAAGGATTTGGATTCAGGTAGTTTATTACAGAAGTGATGCTAAGAAGCTGGAATGAGTGAATGGAAAGAGCGGAACAGAGGAGGGAAAGCCAGTAAATTGTGCTTTGTTGAACTGCTACTGTTGCGAGCAACTGAGGCACAATCCTGCCTGCAAGCTGCCTGAGGTATAGAATGCACCTCAGGATTTTCCCTTTGAGGCTGGGTATTGAGCTAATGACTTCAAGAGCCTTTGGTTGAAGGCTTACCCTTGGAACATTAACTGCCCCCGCACTCCATGCTGCAAAAAGCTAAGAGGTACGCTAGGTGCTTCAGGTGGGCAGCCATCCTTGTGCGTGAGGATTGTCCACCATAGCCGCAGCTAAAATCAGAGAGCAGCTGTGTGGAAGTATGGGGCACCGGTAGTATCTATTACAGATTCCTACAGAAAATGATGCAGAGATTGCAATGGTGATCCTGCCAGAATGGAACGTGTTTGCACCTCATGGTTCTGCTGGTTTACAGAGCTGGGAAGAGCCAAAAGGCCAGGCCACGTCAGCCAAAATAGCCCGCAATGCAGGCTTTGTGCCACTTAAAAAATGGGCCCATGTCTTTCCTGAGTGAGCTATTGTATGAGTAGGAAAAAAAAAAAAACACTGTTTCTCCTTTACCCTCAGAACATGCTTCTGACACCAGATATGTAGGGGTTTTTCCCCAAACACATCAAGCAAGCAGTCAGTCCTGTAGCGGACATCACCTAGATGTCCTCCAATTCAATTCCGA